GTGTGCGAAAAGGCAGGAGGAAAGGGATGCAACTCATACACCCAGCATGGGGAAGAGGGACTCTCACTTTCCCAGGATTCTTGCGGCTGCTACCGTGAAGCCTTTGCCAATGCCCAAAGTCGCCAGTGAATCAGTTTTGGGAGTGGTCTGGCCAGCCCAAGCCTTGATGGATGGGGTAGTTGCCACCTTGTCGGGCTGAGTTTACTCCAAGGTCTCCCGGAGTTTGCATGGCGAGAGGGAGAACCAGAGCCGGCAACCCATTGGTGCCACATCTATGTTTTGGTTAGCATGTCAGACAAGGTATCAGCTGCAGAGGCAAGACTCGAGTTTGTTCTTTGACAAGCCGAGCCGATGAACCCAATTGACCCTCGCCTCTGGTTAGGATCTGGTGGAAGAGATGATCCCGAAGCCTCTCCACGTCTACGGCCTGGGCGCCTTTAACGTGGCTTGACTGTGGGGACAGTGGGGTCGGTGGGTAGTTCTGAGTAAAAGCGAGGTCACCGAACGGGGGGGGGGGGGGGGCGAGAAGGTCACTTGCGGAAAATCGGCCGGTTCGTAAAGGAGCTAAAATGCAGTAGGTGCAGGAAGTGGAGGCAGAGCAATCCTTACAGCAACTAGGTCCCCCAGCTAGGTGCCCTTTCTCACCTTACTTTTTTTTTGGGGGAGATTCGGTTCCCCTACTAAAACCGACTACCGAAGAAGAGTCGGGTACCAACTTCTTCTAAACCTCTCAAATCTGGAGGACCTTACAGCAACTGCCCACCTCCCTGGCTCAGATCGGCCTCTTCTCGTCGGGCCAGAAAGGCGCGCTAGGCGCGGTGGGGGGGGGGGCTTCGGCTTCAATTTCTGCAAGCCCATGGCGGCCAGTTTGAGATTTGGCCCGCCTGGTTTGCCTTTTCAAACTTCATCATCCCCCCCGCCCCCAGAGCCTTTTCCATTTGTGTACCCCCCCCTTTCAAGGGAAAAAAACATCACACTTCCAGCTGATGTTCATTCAATTATGTCCCTGGCGCCTTTTCAATTTTTCCCCCTACCCGCCTTCAGAGGAAACCAACCCCCGGCCCCAGAAAAAACCAGTCACTACACCGGGTGATGTTTCCCCGTTTACTCTCAGGGGGTGAGAAATCTAAGAAACCGAACTCCCAGGTGATGGCCCCTCAGAAAGCGAACCCAGCGGAAACCTCCGCCAGAAGCGGCCAGGCAAGGGCTACGGCCATCTGGGCGCCACCTATGGCCGGGGGCCCAAGGAAGCCCTCGAGTGTCATGTCTTTAGCTCATGTTCGACTGATTCAGCCGGTGCTCAGTTTTGACCTTTGCGAGCCATCTTGGGCCCTTGCTCAAAACATTGCTTGCTCATTGAGGGCCATGCTGCCTGCTTGCAAGTGCTTGAGCACTCCCTTGTGCACGAAAGGCCAGAAGAAAAAAGTTGTTGCACGGCCTTTGGTGATGCTTCGCTGAAAGTGGTGCTTGGTAGTAGTTCTCAGGATCTGGGTGGCCATGACAGCGGGACCAACACCCAAGCAAAATTGCATATCTGTCCAACCCTTGGTATGGCATCGGGGAAAAAATGTCTTTTTTTGCAACCCCTATTAAACATGCACAGAACCCAAAAACCTAACATGCCAACAACGGTGAAGATATCCATAGCTGCCCGAACACCTGACAAACAAACAACAATGAAGGCACCACAACACGGCTACTCATCGAATGATAATGGGCATTCTGTGGCACCAACAGCTGATTCGCACAGCGCAGTAATTGCACACAGCGTAGCAAGCTTATATTGTTTGGAAAGACGGCAGAAGTACAGCTATCCCAGCTGCCTTGCTCACAACAAAGCCTCCCTTGCACAGTTTGAGAGCATCTGCATGACTCATGTGCAGCGAAAATGCGAAAAGTGCCCCAATCATCTTCTTGTTCATACTTTTAAAAAAATGGCCTTCCCAAGACAAAACTCAACCGCGGAAACAATGCGAGGATGGCCAACCAGCTTCTTCCCGATACTCCAAAAAACTTCCGTTTGGACCCATTCCCCGGCGTGTGTTTGGGTGCGGCAGCAAGAATTCACCCGTGGCAAGTGCATACTTTTGCGAGCCCCAGATTTTGAGCCTAGAATGAAAAATGTTCGCAAGCGTTGTTTTTTTTCCTTTTTTTCTCTTTCTTTTTTGGGGGGGTCTCTGCCGGTGTATTTTTTTTTTGGCTTGATAAGCAGATCCACTCCTGCGCCGAGGGTATCAGAGCATCGTGGGATTCTTCCCCGCGCAGAACATCTCCCTGGCCGTGGCAACCAACATCGAGACGGACAAGCAGGCGCGGAAGCCCCGCCTCGAAAATCTCTTGTGAAATTCGCATGCCGGCGCCGAGGAGTGAGGGATGTTGTATCTATGGCAACTATGTTCTGTTTGTTGCTGTTGTTATTACTCTGATTATTCTGATTGCTATTGTTATTCTTAGTATGACTATTATTGCTGTGATTTTAATATTAATGGTTGTTGTTATCGTTTTCACAAAAATAATAGTAATAATTAGACTATCAATAATTTGTATCATTACTATCATTCGTACTATTATTTTGCAAGTTTTCATGCCCTGATGGCTTCCTTTGGTTGCCTTGGCTGGGACACAATCTGGTGAAGCCATGGGGACCACACACTCCAGGAGTTTGTAGCTGCAATGCTGGAAGTACGAGCTCAGCTCAAAACTATGGGAAACCAACCGAAGGCTTTAGCTCATTCCATGGAAGGGGTCACTAAATTCCCTTGTTGCTTTAAATGTGTTACTTTTTGGATCCCTTTTGTGTATTTTCGCCTATGAAAATTGAGGTTGACATCGGGGGGATGTTTTGGGCCCACCTTTTCTTTGGGTGATTCAGGTGCAGACGCCGGACACCATGTGCTTCGCCTACAATGCAGTGGCAGGCCGATCGAGCGGCCATCTAAGAGGATAACAAGGGCAAGTCTACCGCCCCCCCCCCCCGCCAACCGAAACATGTAAAAAAACCACCTGCGAGGGCGATCGGTGGCCTTTCGGAGGTGTTCTGGGATCTCCCACCTCTGCAACTGGCTGGCACGACTGGAAAGGCAAACGCCACGTGAAGTTTGAGGAGACTCGGCTGTCACGTGGACTAACCTGTTGTCACGCTTGCGCCTGGAGGTCTTGTGTGTGTGTGTGTGTGTTTTCTCCATTAGTTTTCTCCATTTTTTCTGTTTTTTTTGCCCAGATAGCTGAACGCTATAGAGGTTCTAACTTCGAATAAAGAGGGGACAGTGATTTGCGAGATTGACGGCTGGGTGTTAGGGGGCATGCAGTCTGTGGTGCTGGCGCAGGTACTGTTTTGGGATTTGGTTTGGGGTGCTGTGTTGAAGTGCTGGCGACAGTGCGGCCAGGTGCTTTGGGAGTGCTGTTGGGGGGGCATTGATGGCAGGGGGCTATGGGCATGCAGTTTGGGGTGCGGGTGCGGGTGCTTTGGGGGGCTGGGGTCACGGGCACGTCTTTGCGAGATTGACGGCTTGGGGCGCTGGTGCAGGTGCTGTTTTGAGGGGCTTGGTGAGAACCAGGTGTGTTTTTGCGAGATCGACGGCAAGATGCTGGGGGGGATGCAGTTTGGGGATTCTTGTTCAGGTTCTGTTTTGGGGTGTTGCTATGCTCCCCCCTCCCAGACGGCAGACGGGGATCGCGGATCCATTTGGTGCAGGCGTGCTCATGAACAAGACCTTCGAGTGCACCTTCGAGGCGGCGTGGTCCTTTTGGGATCAGCAAATAGCGCAAAGAGCTTCACTACGTCTGCTGCAGAAAAGGGCGTTTGGTCCACAAGGGCGTTTGGTGCCAAAAGCCTATTTGCCTTGAGGCGATTTCTTTCCTTTTTCTTCTTGAGGCAACTCGGATCAAAGCACCAAGCAAGCGCAAGGTCTCTTTCTGCCTGCCTGGGGTTTGTTAAGGTACAGGGGTTTTGGTATCGAGGTGGTGGGCTACTACGGGGGCCGCTGCACCTGCACGGAGAAGCCGAAGCCCGTCCTGATCGTCTGAGCCTCCTGCTGTCGGGGGTGGTGGGCGCTCGGGCTGGGCGCTTGGGCGGTCGGCTCCGGCTCGGCAACGGCAAGGAAGAGGCCCAGCTGGGAAACCCCTGCAGTCAGGCCATTCTTTGGATTCTTGAGGGGAAGTTCACTAGTGATCAGGGCTTTCCAAGCGGAGTCCCTTTTGCTGGGGCGAAATGCCTCAAACGCCGGCCGGTAGGCACGCCCAGCCCAGATTTCACCGCTCGCCCGCCTGGAGATGCTTTGGGCTACTAGGGCCCGGGCTCTCTAGCGACCGACCTGTCGGGCGACTGGGCAAAGTTTGGTAGGGGCAGGTCTTGCCACCAAGTGGCGTGGCGACTTCTGCCCTTTTAGATGCTCCATGGGTGTTTTCTAGTATTCGTTTTTTGGCAAGAGTCCGAAAATTTGGAAATTCCTAAACGTGTGCTGGCTTCTTTCTGCAGAAGCACCGCGGGCCGCCCAGTTTTCGATGCGCCGCCTTCGGAGTGTCGAGCCTGGGCAAAAAATGAGTCGCGAGAAACCCATATCGAGTGCGTTCGAAGTGGCAAAGTGGCGAAGTGGCGAGTTGGGCGTGAGTCTTTCAATCTTGGTCAAGGCTACCACCTCTCCTCACCTCGAAGTATCTGAACATCAGGTCCCATGGATTCAATAGAGTAAGGGGCCGCATCAATCACATGGTTGGCCCCGGGGCGCGCGGCCAAAATCCCCCACATCCCGATTTGTCCAGTTTTCCAGAAGGCTCTGAGCGCAAGCGACAGCTTGCCCACGGGACCTCAGTCCTCTCGGTGGCTGGCTTGTGAGATGCTTTGTTTTTGTGCCGGGTGTTTCAGTTGACCGAGCTCTCTGTCGGAATTGCACTCCAACCCCCTTAGAGAAAAAAAGCAGAAAGAGGGTCTTGAATCTTAAACAAAGAAAAGCAGAAAGAGGGTCTTGAATCCTCTGGTTTTTCCCGCTTCCCCCTACCAGGTGGAGGAGGAGCCTTTGAACGAGTGGTGGGCCATTGAGAAGGCCAGGGTTTTGAGGGCTCGTGGCGTCGGAGTCGGAGAGCGCTTGCTGAAGCCATCCAAGGTGCACCTGGTGCACCTGAAGTAAATGGCCACTAGGAAATAGGGGTGCAGGAACCAAAGACCAACCCACACAAGACACAGAAACCAAGAAGCCACGAAAGCCAAGACCCCAAAAGTGGGAAAATTAGGGGGAAAAAAGCCAAATTTAGGGTGTTGGCGGGGGGGCGGGGACCCAGAACCAATGAAGACCAAGCAAGCCAGCAGAACCACAAACCCTGTCCCTTCCCCAATCCCTTCCCCGCGCCTGCGAGGCGGAGTCGCAGCGCCGGCTGCGAGCGCTGGAGGCGCGGCTGGAGGCTGCGGAGGCCCAGGCGCAGGAGGACTGGTGCTGGGGGTGGCTGGGATGAGGGCGGGGTGTGGGGGGTGAGGGAGAAATTTGGGGGGAGATGGTTACATTTCGGGGGTGGGGGGGGGGGGGAAGGGAGGGGGCTGGTTGGGTGTAGTCAGAGGCTCGAAACGTGGCAGTTTCAATGGAGCCACCACCCCAGTTTGATGATTTAGGCCCAACGAGTTACTTCATGTGTATATATGTATATGTATATATGTATATATGTATAAATATATTTGTGTTCATTCTTTCATTTTCCTCGGGGGCGTTGGGGGCGGGTTAGTTGCGCGGGGCATATGCGGAATGGCCAGCAACTCCCATCATTTGGGTTTCGTATGAAGACCAAGTCGACCACTCTTGGTAGGTGCTCTTTTTTTAATATTTTTTGCGGGCTCTTAGTAGACGAGTGGGGGGAAGGCGCCCTGCCAGCGCCATTGGAATGGAGCCGTCGGCAGTAGGGCCTCCACAAGGTGCCCAGTGTGCTGTCCAGTTGGATGGGCAAGCGTCACCCGCCCCAAGTGAATCGACCATTGTTGTTATCTATGTGTTGCCTAAAGTCATTGGCCCTAAAAGTCAGCCCTTTATTCAGATTGATGGGCAAAAGAAGGCTCTTTGTGGGGCAAGCTTGTGGCATCATTTTCTCATCAGGCGCCCCTTTGCGCGGCTCATACGCGGCTGCATGCCCCCGATGCCCTTTGCAGGTTTCGTGGCTCGAGAGAGGACGCATTGGAGACATGGCTGTGGCTCAAAAGATACCAAGATGGCACCTGGTTAAATGGAACCAAAGACTGAAAAAAACTGCGTAACCCTAGGTCTTTCATTTTGAGCCACTTCCACTGGCGTGCGCTTCTGGTTTTTCCTCGAAAAGGAAGGGGGACATGGCTCGACTTCGTGCGTCTCGTTGAGCCCGCGAATTGGCTCAAAGGAATGCGCTCAAAGGGATTTGGGAGGCTCCCAGCTTCCCCAACACCATCGAAGATGGTGCGAGTTCCTTCGTCAACACACAGAGCATCCCTTGTGCAGAAAACCCCCCCTCCCCCCCCACAGAAAATAGCCAAAAAACATATATCCACTACATAAATGGGTGTTGGTTTGGGGGTGCAAAACTTTGTAACCGCCAGAAACCGGGATCGTTCCCCCCTTCCCCTCCCCTGGCACTCCTCCAAAAGCAAGAAGCGGGTTGTAGCTGGGCATCCGGGCATCCGGGGGAACACGTCCTCCGCCCATGGCATGGCGAGCTTTCAGCAGCAGGACGGCCAGTGGGAAGGGAACGTGCCCATGGTCAACGTAGGTCGGAGCCATGCCACGCGGCAGTTCTGCGGCGAACTGCCCAAGGTTGACCCCGAGTGACATCCCCCTGTTTATTTTGAAATAATGGGGTCCTGGGTTTTCGTGTGGATTCATCACTTTTGGAGAGGAGCACCTCCAGATGAATAAACCAGGGCTTATTAATCCGGGGTCAGCATTACTCCAAGGCCGCGGGGCGAGCCACAGCCCGGGGAGTTGAAGGCGAAGGGACACTCCCCTTGCCACAAATGGGTGCCGCCTTTTAAATTGTTACCATGGGTATGGGCAATTTTAGGATCAAAAGGTCCTTTACATGGGATGACAGGGGAAGACCACATGGGAAAAGCTACCCATGGTCAGAACTGGGGGCCCAAAATGGAATATTGATCAACACAACCGGGTGTTGGGAATGATCCGTTTGGGATTCCTGAGTCGTTCGGTGGGCCGTGACGGAGGTGTCGATAGGAGAGCCACATCCACTGGAGCACACGTGTCCTTTCACGTAGATGTGGTACCGATTGGTTTTGATTACCTACATGGGTGCGGGTCAAAATTAAACCACCAGGAATCGGACCGCCTGTTTGAGTCATGGGTTCCATTTACCGAACGGGAAACCCATTTTGGTTGGTTTGCTTCAAAAGATAGGGGGCCCTGGTTTAGCTGGGGCTTCTTCCATGTACCAGGGCCATCTATGTTTCCAAAAGGCCACCAATGGTTTTGATCATCACCTACATGGGGGATCTTTTTTTCCCCCTCTTTTTTTTCTTCTTTTTGTTCTTTTTCTTCTGGTCCCTGGTTGGTTGGTTGATTGGTTGGTTGGTTGGTTGGTTGGTTTGGTTTGGTTTGGTTGGGTTGGTTGGTTGGTTGGTTGGTTGGTTGGTTGGTTGGTTGGTTGGTTGGTTGGCTGGCCGCATCCCCGGCATCACCAGCCTCACTTGGCCCTGGGGATGCATATTGGCTATGTTTCACTGTTGGGTGGGTTTAGGGTTGACTTTGAGTGGGTTGGGTTGGCTTGGAGCTGATTTGTATTAGGTTTGCTGCTGATGTGGTTGCCCCAAAACACCGAAACTCGACCAAGCACTCACTTAACTATACCTAAAGCATCCCTGAAGCCGCTGCTAAACCAGCAGCACCCCCAACACAAATCAGCTCCAAGCCAACCCAAACCCACTCAAAGTCAACCCTAAACCCGCCCAACAGCAGCCTGGATGTCATCCCTTCGCTTCTCCTAAGTCAACCCCAAACCACCCCAATACCCAGCCATGAAATCAGCGCCAATAGGCAACCCCAGGTCCAAGTGATGCTGGTGATGCTGGGGATGTTGCCAGCCCTGCAGAAAACCAGCCCCACGAAAAAACCAGCCCTAGTAAACAAACAAAACTCTGTTACCCCTACATGGGTGTGGGTCAAAATTCAACCACCAGAGGACCTGCTTGAGTTATGGGTTCCATTTACCGAATGGGCAACCCATGTTGGTTGGTTGGTTTTCTTAAGAAAGATAGAGGGCCCTGGTTTAGCTGGGTTTGCTTCCATTTACTAGGGTCATCTATTTTCCACAAGGCCACCCGTTGTAGTATCGCACATTGGGATTACACCCTTGGGAAATGACCCAGGCTGGTTCAAAACAACACGGTTTTCTCCGGCAATGTGCCTAAATGGGGTCAATTCCCAGTGGGTGTATTCCTTTATACCGATATTTTGGTTGGGGTTTCTTCCATTTACTAGGGCCATCTATGTTTTTGACCCATCACCGCCACGTGGCCTTGGCCTTCGCCTTTCCGCCCACCCGCAGCCGAAGGACGCGCGGCTCAGAGAGAGGGCGCGGCTCTGCGAGCAGGAGCTGCGGGAGGTCTCGGCGCGGCGAAGTCTGGAGGCGCAGGAAGTGGGACGTCGCCGTGGGATCATACATATATATATATATGTATCATATGAATAGGTACGCATCTATCTATCTTATCTCATAGTATCTTATCTTATCTTGTGTTATCTTATTTGTTTCCTGTCTATCCATCTGTCTTCTCTGTCTGTCTGTCTATCTATCTGTCTGTTCTATCTATCTATCTATCTATCTATCTATCTATCTGTCTGTCTGTCTGTCTGTCTGTCTGTCTGTCTGTCTGTCTGTCTGTCTGTCTGTCTGTCTGTCTGTCTGTCTGTCTGTCTGTCAAGGGGCTTATCATTATCCGTGCATTGGTCGGCACTGTGATTAGAATTGCATGTTGTATTTTTAGCATGAATAAATGGTACCAACTTATTGGCAACTAGAATGACGATTTTCTGAGGCATACCGAGACGGTGAAGGTTTCTATTGCATCGAAAGGTGTCCTGGTAAACTTTTGGGTGGTTTAACCTACGCTGACACAAATCATTTATATACCGTCATTCGTCATCATTGACTTGCGAAGATGTTAGAGTTTCGATTTGGGGTACCCCCATGTAGGAAACACCCCTTTGAGAAGATCGACATATTTGCTGTATTGAGGCTTATCATCATACAAATTGACAAATGGATTGCTCAATTTGTGTGGGATCCACAGAAGAAAAGCCAGCCCAATTGACCAGAAACAAGTGCGTGCTCCAACCGATCCCGGACTGGGAGCTTTGTCACTCTAAGTCTGACAAAAAATACTAGGCGGTCAACACCCCCTGCAATCGGCGTGTTCTAGGTTTTCCCTATTTGCCTGAAGGGCTGCAACTTTGCCTCGTGGGCGGGGCGTGAGCTTTTTCACTTGATCAAGGCTGGTCAAACTTTACAGCTAGGCTTCCGCAGGCTTGTCAACGCGGACGCGTGTTGGATGAGGCCAGGGAGTCTTGGAGTGGGCTGCAAGAAGCCGAGCATGTCGCAGCATTGGTCCTGCACCCAAACCTGACTGGAACCGATGCATGAGACAGTAATGGGAAATGGAATGACCCCGAAGTAAACCATCCGTGGTGGTTTCCCTTCAGGAAATCCCCAAACGTTTCATTCCCAACATCCGGTATTGGTCATTCCTTACCTATCGCACCCGCAAGTTAAGTTCGGAGCCTTTGCTCTGCCGGTTTTGCGGAGGTGGCAAGGTCATTGCATGGGGGCCGATTCACTGTTTGGCGGTGACAACTTCGCAGTTCAAAGTCAGCTGGCGGCGCATTTGCTGCCACTTTGGCAGCTGGATCTGTCTTTTCTTGGGGAGATCCAGAATGTGGAGGTGACAGCTCGGCAGGTTTGCATACGAGATGTGAACAGTGACAAGGTGTCGCTGGCTAGAAGGCCTCAGTCCAGAGCTCTGGAGGAAGCGTGGGTTCTAGGATGGCAGCTGCGAAGACTCCTCAGATGTCCGGAAGCGGTCAAAATATTGCTTTGAAGAAAGGATGGATACTTGCATGACCAACCAACCCTGAGATCTACTTCCATCTCTCTCTCTCTCTATCTGTCTGTCTGTCTCTGTCTCTGTCTCTGTCTCTGTCTCTGTCTCTGTCTCTGTCTCTGTCTCTGTCCCTGTCTCTGTTTCTGTTTCTGTTTCTGTCTTTTTTCTTCTTCTTCTCCTGTGCATGCTATGTATATACATCTGGATATACATATTGTATGTATATCTATAATATATCATATATATGTAGATATGTGGTCTACACTTCTGTAGCGACCACCTACTCATTTTGCCGGGGCGCCCTTTCGCAGGCGCGCGTGCGGCAGCTGGAGGCGGAGGAGTCGCAGCTGGAGGCCGAGGTCGCCGCCTCCGCCGCCGCCGCGGCCGAGGGCGGCGGCTTTGGTCGGCGGAGTGTCGGGGCGGAGGCCGCGGGCGGGGGGGGGGAGGGGGGCAACTGAGCCAGTCCTCAAAACCCGGGGTTGCCGCAAACTATAGGGATCAATAGGACTTGGACCAGGCCCCCATCCACCAACTGCAATGGATAAAGTAAATTGGGGGTTGATGAAGGTCAATGTTGACCCCCTATGAATCAACCCCAGTTGATTAATAGGGGGGTGAAAACCCCTCCAAAAGTGAACAATGCCCACCAAATCCAGGGACACCCCCCATATTAATAAACAGGTTTATTAATAGGGTGTGTTCATTAGTAAGGGCCAGTCCCAGCCAGAAATAGTTGCGGATATCAAAGCCTTCCTGATTTGTTAGGTTCTGGGTAGACCATTTTAATACCGGGTTTTGATTGTGACTCAGCTGGTGGATTCCTTGGGGTGTTTTCTTCAAAAGTGAAGGATCCCCTCCTCAAGTGGGACAGATTCCCCCACGTTCATCAAGGTTTTTGTGAGTTTGTTCCTCCTTTCTTGGAACCTTGTACCACGTTTAGGGGGTGTTTCACGGTACGTGAGCTCATCGTTTTGAAGGGTTTGAACAGTTGTGTTGGACACCGTTACAGCCATGCAGCCACCCTATGTCGTAAGAAGTGAGGGTTACGCCAATTTTTACGTTATCCATTGCAGTTGGTGGATGGGGGCATGGTCCAAGTCCTATTGATCCCTATAGTTTGCGGCAACCTGCGGCATCTCCTATGTCGGGGGGGTTACCTCCAGTGCAGATATCTTGTGGTAGCACCAGGGGAGTTTTGCGATTTGAAATGGGCGGCCAGGTGGACACCCATCGTTTTCAAGGGTTCAAATCCTGTTTTGAGACCCAAAGAGGGCGACGACTTTTGTTTGAAGCTTTCGGTTCTGGAAAATGCAAGCATCCCAGTGGGTCCTTTTCTCATGTCTTTTTTGAGCCTTTCTTCTTTTCCAATACGGACAGGTTTACGGCCCAATGGGAAGTCCAACCCGCAAAAGCCACTCATTTTTTTGGGGAAAAGGGACACCGCCATGTTGGGGCGCCCCTTGGACACACAGAAATCCCCCCACCGCATTTGGCGTTTTAACAGGACCTCCCCGAGCTTTTGCCGCAACAACCCCACTCACTGGCACCCCGGTTGAGGCCAGCGAGGCCAGCGCCGGGCGGAAGCAGAGCTTCCAGGCGCGGAGCGGCGTCGCGTGGAGCTCTTGGGGGGCAACGCTTCTTGGGACTGGGGGGGGTTGGTGGGTTTTCGGCCCCCCTTTTCTTGACTGCTCTTGGGCAACGGATCTTTAGACTCTAACCTGTTTGGCTGAAATGAAGGGTGTTTTCCACCCCCCAAAAAGTTGATCACTTTTTGTAGGGGTCAACGGCAACCAAGTCTAGGGCATTTCCATCCTTTCCAGGGATCCTTCTTTCTAGAAAACCCCTGGAAACCCAGGGACAACGGCCGAAGTTTGGAAAGAACGGTGGCTGAGAAGAAGGGGGAACCAACCCCCCAGGACCACACCCTCTGTCCAACAATGGAGGTGGACGTTTTGGGGCAGGAGCAAAGCCGGGAGACAGAAGGACTCTCCACTTGCGTGTACTTGGCAGAGGCTGCCTCCCAAAAGCATGTCCTGTTTCGCCTTTTTTGGGGGGAGAGTTCGGGCTTGGGTCGGTGGACAGCAACACTTCATGGCCGTTGGGGTGATCCTTGTGGCCAAAACCACGGGGTGTGTCTTCTTCTTTGCGAGGAAGCCCTCCTTTGGCTTAGGGAGGCCAAGAGGAACCTCAGTTGCCCAAAGCGAATCGACCGGATCTGACCTTTTGGTTTCCCGGCTTTGGTTTCCATTTTTAGTAAAGGTCCCAAAAGGTGATCACCTTTTGCTTCCAGGTCCTTTGAAGTAAGGGCCCCCCACGATTTTGGGGGCTTCCCCGAAATATGGGCCGACCAGAAGCGAAGCATGCCGCTGGGCCCGCAGGCTCAAGCTCAGGACCTGTCCCCGTGAAAGGTCTTCGCTCGCACCATCGGTCCACGCCCCTTTTCGGCTCGAAGTGGCAGGGTTGACGCTTGCTCCTTGGCGCCTTTGCCGCGCAAACCTGCATGCCTTATAACAGTCTTACACACATGCGTACATATATGTATACACATTTACATACATATCTCTGTGTTTGTCTCACATCCGCGCACTCGGCGAGTCGCATCTCCCGCTTTTCCAAGCCAAGCCCTCGGCGGAATGTACCTGTCGGGCCTCCCCTTGGCCGCTCTGCTCTTCCTGGGCCATTGCGCGGCCACAGGCGGGGCGAGAGGGCGAGAGGGCGAGAGGAGCGGAGGCTTTGGTCTCCGACCTCTGCGGGGTGCGGGCGACTTTTTTTTTTGATTTTGGCCGCCCAGGGCGGCGGCTTGTGAAGAAAGGGTGTGTGGGTGTGGGTGTTTGCACAGGTGGGGATACAAATTCCGGGGAACCGAAGGAGGCTTGATCAAAAGAAGATGAGCAGAAAGATGTGTTGATGAAAATAAAACGGGTTGGCCCTCAGTCTCTTTTTTCCCCGTGCGGATGGACGCTTTTTTCCATACGACGCCGGCCGCAAATTCCTTTTTTGTCGGGAGGGCCCGTTGGGCATCATTTAATGTTGACTTCGTGTCTTGTTTGCGGAGGAATCCGCATTTGCCTGTTGAGGCTCGCGGAAGGGGAATGCCCAGCTTTTGGCTTCATCTGCGGCTTTTGGGAATGGGTCGGTCGCTTTTGGGTGGTACCGATTCTCGGGGTGTGTTTAGAAGGAAAACCCAAAGGACACCTAATTACCCGGGGGGGTCCAAGTCCTGAGAAGACGCGGCTGTATGCTTCCTGCTTCCCCAGCCGCGCCCGGCGGCACGTAGAGCGTAAATCCCTGAGGCGCCAGCTTGAGGGATGCCACGCAGTGGCTGAAGCAGATCTCCCATCGTTCCCTCCGGGTGGAGGAGGCCCTGCTGGAGGTGCGGCAAAAGAGGCTCAGACTGCACGCAGGGAGGTTGGCGCCAAGAGCGTTTTGGTGTCTTTTCGTTTTTTTCTTCTCCTTTTTTTTGGTGGGGGGGTGGGGGGTTAGAATGTGTAGGTTTGGAAGGCAGTCCAAACAGGAACACCCGACCAAACTTAAGGCCAACTCCTTATTTCGACACGCAACGCAGCATGGTTGCGGAAAAATGTTCGCGCGTTTGAGGGCCACTTGTCTGTGATACCAAGGGAGTTCGATTCCCGTGGTAAGCAGTCGGGATGGCCAACTTTGGCACTGATGCCAACGGACAGGCCGTTTCTGGGGTCGCCTCTACCCCCTACTCCAAATACCCTCTTTTTTTTCGGGTATGATGTCGACCCTCTACTAAAAAAGGAGGTATTTACCATGGAAACCCAGGTTTTTCCAAAAAATACCCTAGAAAAAGTGGGTATTTGGAGTAAGGGGTAAAGCTAATTTAGGCGCAGCATAGACGAAATACAAAACCGGATCTGAACCTATGATTCAATGATTTTTGGAGTACAGGTGTGCGCCATGACAAGACTGGTCCATCGAAGTGGTGGTGCAATTCTTGGTGGCCTTTCTCTTTTCAGGTTCCCCCTTTCTCAACTACGGAAACGTGGCGCTTCTTTACTGCCGATGTTTGAACCAAGACATTTGTGTTCCTTCACACCTTGATCCTCTTGGAGCCTTGGCCTTTGATCTCTCTCTGAGAAGGCGGGGTTCCTCAAGGTCCAGTTTCGAGCGGACCCGCCTGTGGATCGATGAGCTTTTGATTCGGGGCGTGCTTTTTGCTTGCGCGCGCCCAAGGCTACGCAAGTAGGGGGCGTAAGGAATACCGTTGAAAGTGACAGAGTAGTTTGAGTATCTGCCTTTCAAAGTGACAGAGTAGTCCCGATGCGAATCAAGCATTTTCGTATCATAGGGTAGGTGGCTTTGAAAACAGCATCTCAAGGCTCGCCCCTCCCAGCGAGCTCAGGAACTACGTGCTGTGCGCCAAGGTTTTCGTTCACCTCACTCTGGTGGCGGCTGAGCCATGCACGCGAGTCGCGAGTCGTCCGGTGAAACGACCTGGCACCGATGTGTAGAGCCCCCATGGCCAAAGCTGTCGTTCATAACTTCCAGCCATCCGGTCCCTTAGCTTAAAAAAAACACAAAAAACATAGTGTTTAGTGGCTGGATTTCCGAATTTCACCCACTAAAACTTAGACTCCTTCCGTTTCCTTAGCTTTTTAAAACAAGACTTTTAGTGTTTAGTGGTTTCCCGAATTTCACCCACTAGAAGTGAGTCACTTTTCGCGGGGGGATCGGAAATCGGGCCGCCCGTTGTCAGGAAGTGTCCCCAAGAGCTTAGCTTCGCTCCGAAAAAGAAAAGGGGGAAGTCGGGAAGCCGCGGATTCCGGAGATGCCGCTTTTCCTGTTTTCATGGGAAGGCTCAAAAGGTTGGAGAAGGGGGATCCCTCCCAAGAGCCCTTTTTTTACCTAGGGCCTTGGGGTTGGGTGGAGTGTTGGTTTCCATATTATTATGGTTTACCCCATGCCCTTGATCTTATTACCCCAGACCTTGTCCTGCTTGGTCTCGGGTATTTGTGGAGTGTCCATCGGAGAATTGGGTTTTTGTGACTCCACCAACCATCCCCTAATATGCATTTGAGAGTTTGGAAGGGGACGTCTTTGCCCTATGCTCACACCCTCCTTTGGCCTGCAAACCCGACTCACACAGCTGGCCCCCACCCTTCACTAGGCGGCTTCGCTGCTTCCTCAGCCTTCTGAAAAGTGCAGCCAGCTAGGGCTTCCCAACCTCCAACTTGTGAACCTTCAAAAAGTAGGGAATGTCACTGGATCTCCGCCTGATGGATCAACTTCGAATGCCAACACAATCTTATTGGCCGTGCAGCTCCGAAGGCATAGAAGTTCTTCCGGTTTGTTCACTTAAAAAAAAAAAAACGGTTTGCCCAGGGTCCGTGTACGAAGCCCTTCCCTTTCAGCCAAAAGGTGAGTCAGCGAGGCGGTGTTCTTTTGGCCTTCGATTTGGCAGGGCGTTGGCCGGCTCAGGCTCCTCCATTTCTCTCCATTCTTTTGGGAACCCCCCCCCCAAAAAAAAAAGGAAAAAGAAAAACAGGCTTGCTTAAACCCAACCATCACTCAGCTTCCCTCATCATTGGTTTGGTCTCCGTAGCCATTTTGGCTCAAGGCCATTCGAACTTTCTTGTAGCACCCCGCAATCGCAGGGCTGCCTTTACTGGACATCCGGCATTAAAGCATTGAGGCTTGGTCATGGCTGCTGAGCAACCTGACGTGCGTGGTCCTATGGGTCCTGCCGATGGTGGCGCTGGTGTTGATCCTGTCACACAAGCTGACCTCAAGGACACGCACCAACGCATGGAAGCCCTGGAGCAAAGGTTCATGGCAATGCACCAAGATCACCAGGAAGTCACCCAAGCCAAGTTCAAAGCAGTTGAGCAGCAAGTGCATCAGGTTGAGTGCGCAGTTCAAGCCCAAAGCAAAGGGATGCAGTCCATGTTCGATGCCCAGATGGCCCGCATAGAAGCCTTGATGAGCCAGAGCCAGCGCAGAGACCGATCACGGTCTAGGAAGGAGTGACTAGCCATCATGGCCAGCTTAATTAGGTGCACCCAATCATGGTGCAGCAACCTTCAGTTGTGGTGGGCACTAGTCGGTACCTATATCCACACGAATGATTGCAGCATAGGGGAGGCCAGGAACCCAGGGCCCAGTGCTATGTCAGCACAGCCATGGACTCTTGGTATCGCCAACCCAACCGGGTTGGAGGGAAAGGAAAGTATTTTTCGAGAGTTGGCCCAGGGGTTGTGGCTCATCTCGGAGACCCATTTTACAACCCAAGGCCTCGGTAGATTCAAGCGTGGCCTGCAATTCGCACGTACAGCATTTCGCGCCGTTGTCCCGGGAGCTCCCTTGAAGCCCCGGCCGCATTCCACCTGCATAGGTACCTATTCCGGCGTCTGCGCCGTGGCCTCGCATCCTGTGCGTAGTTTGCCCACCAACTGGACCACAAATACCTGGGAGACCGGACGAGTTGTCACAGTGACCTCGATGGTTAATAATCAATGGATTCAGGGAGGCATTTGCTACGGCTACGCCCAGCCTGGGCAGGAAGCAAGGGCCAAAACAGACATCCTACTTGAGCAACTCGAGGAGCGCATCATCCATGGCGCCCAAGGCATGAGGTTCATAGGAGGTGACTTCAACACAGAAGACCACCAGAATGCACGCTTTCAACGCTGGAGAGATCTGGGCTTCTGTGAAATCCAGGAGCTTGCCCTTCAACGTTGGCAGGTTCCACTGCGGCCCACCTGCAATGGGGCCACTCGCGTGGATCAGTTGTGGATATCCCCTGAACTGGCACGATGCATCACCATGGTGGAGGTATGTGACTCCATTTTCTCGGACCACGCCACAGTGTCAGCAAGTTTCTCCTTTGGAAAGGCGGAGCCAGCATTCACCTGGAGAGTACCCAGGAGCATCCAGTGGAATGAATTGTGTACCAGCATTCCCATTCCACTCAATACACCATGGACTGACCCACCGGCCTTCCCTGCAATCCCAGGCAATCCACTTGGAGGTAATGCCTCTCCTTCCACTAGTGCATATGCCAACCTGTGGGAACAAATTGAAACGGCAACCAATACTCATTGCCAAAGTGTCGGGAAACAGACGCTCACCCAGGGGCAATGCGGACGAGGGCACACCTTACACCCGCATAAGTGCACACGAGTAGCCATTCCACAGCGGTCCTCTCGACAAAGCGAGATCAGCCCCCTTTTCACAGGCACTCAGGTAGTCCACGGCTTTTGGCTTAAGCAGTTGCGGAGGTTTCAGTCCCTACTCCGAACCGTTAAGTCCCATAACCCAACGGTCCATACCCTCGAGAGACAGGTAGGAACGTGGACAGCAATCAAGATTGCCCAGGGGTTTTCTCCATGCTTTGCCACTTGGTGGCCATCCCGTGCACAAGCCACCGTCTGGGACCCCTCGGAAATCCCTGAGCAATGCCCCAGTGCAACTGTAGTGGCATCACTCATGGAAGCATTCCACAGAGAGTTCTTGGCGCTGGACCGTCAGCTAGCCAACTCACGCCTCAAGCTAGCAGCCAAACGGAGAGCAGCAGCACCCGCCTTGATCTTCAAAGACATTGCCAGACCACGGGCCAAACCAGTTGATATACTAATTGGCAAAAACTTGGCAACCGTAGATAAAGTTCATCCGGCTGACCTTTCGGTAGTGTACACCGGTTACCTCAACCCCGACTTGCCAGTACGGATAAACGGGCGAATAGTGCCTGTCCTTGTGCACACCGAGGACTGCCTTTGGTTGGACACCAACGTGCTGCCCGCCGAAGGAGAACGCATTGTGCAGGAAACCCAGTTGGGGTCCCTGCCAGAAATGTTCCAAGCGTTTGAGGTGGAATGGTCCGAAAGATGGAACAAGCACGCACAGGTCGCCCCAGAGAGGTGGAGCCAGTTAGTAGATCCAGCCAGCAAGCATATCAGACCTGTGTGCACGCCATTTGGCGCCATTTCAGCAACAGACATCCGGAAAGCCATCAAGCATAAACGTGCTCGAGCCGCCCCGGGCCCAGATGGAGTCACACGTGACGACCTCCTTGCAATGCCTGACTGGGTGCTGGAACACTTTGCCCAACTATTCCAGCACACAGAAGCCACAGGCCAGTGGCCCCAGCAGCTAATCACAGGCCTAGTGCACAGCCTGGAGAAAAGAGACAATCCTGACTCTGTCTCCTCCTACAGGCCTATTGTAGTCTTTGGACTCCTGTACCGCGTTTGGAGTTCCATCAGATCCAAGCAGCTTATACGCCAACTCGCCCCACATGTAGATCCGCACGCCTTCGGCAACCTGCCGGGGAAAACAGCTGCACACGTGTGGTGGAATACCATGTGCGAGATTGAAACTTCCTGTGACTTGCAAGAGCCACTGTGCGGCCTTGTAGGTGACATAGTTAAATGCTACAACTGCATACCACGTGATCCGGTGTATGCAATAGCAGCCTTCTCAGGCGTTGATGCCGGTACCCTACGTGGATGGGCAGGAGCACTTACTCTCATGACTCGTAGATTTTGCATTCGGCAGAGTGTTGGGCCGCCGGTAGCATCCTGCACCGGCTTCCCTGAAGGCTGCGGCCTTTCATGTGTCGCCATGATCCTCTCCAACGAATTGTTGTCCATTCACATGAAGATCACCTCTCCCACCATCCGAACTCTAACTTACGTTGATAATATTCAGTTCCTTGGACACTCCCCAGAGGAGCTCCTGGTTGCAGATACTGCCTTCCGTGAGTTTGTATATCAGATGGACTTGAGTATCGATGAAGGTAAAACGTTCTACTGGGCTTGCCAACCCGGGCACCGTAATTTCTTGCGCAAAGCAGGACATCAAGTTGCACTCAAAGCTCGTGACCTGGGAGCACACATGCAATACTGCCGCCAACCTACCAACGAAACCTTGGTCGCGCGGATCAAGAGTACAAAACCACTATGGCTGCAGTTGTCCACCTCCAGTGCACCCCTGGACCGAAAAGTTCACGCCATAGTCATGGCCGCCTGGCCCCGTGCTCTCCACGCCGTCTCGGTAACCCACGTAGGCCAAAATCATTTTAAGCAATTGCGCACAGGAGCTCTGCGAGGACTGCGTATGCGCAAACCGGGCGTGAGCCCTCTAGTGCAACTTAGTCTCTTGCAGGACCCACTCACGGACCCAGAGTTCTATGCCATCCGAGCCACAGTGAGAGATTTCCGTACCTTTGCCACCCCAGCCTTTTGGGAGCACCTGAGTGACAAGGACTCGCACCGAAGTCGTGCCGGCCCAGGCAAGGTTTTGCTCCAGCGCATTGCGCGCCTTCAATGGTCAGTACTTCCAAACGGGCAAGTGTTAGATCACATAGGCGAGTTCAATATCCTTGATTTGGCCTGGAAAGAACTTGACATCCGGATGCGTCACTCCTGGCAAATTGTGATTGGCACTACGGTTTCCTCCCGTAAAGGATTCTCAGGTCTTGCCCAAGTTGACACACAAGTTACCAAAAAGTCCTTTCATCAGTTAGGGCAGGAGGAACAAGCACTCCTGCGTGTAGTCCTGAACGGCACCTTCTTTACTAACGATGCGATTGCACACATGCAGGTTGACCAGACACCTCTGTGTAGTTTCCGTCAGGCGCCGGATAGTGTACACCATCGTCACTTGACCAGGAAGTGCTTGAGACCCTGCCTTTCATTAGAGACTGTTGGGCTACCCGTGGTTGGGCCACACGGCCACCAGATGAGCCCCTTTGGCGTAGCCTCCTGTGTGACGCTGGCATTATCCAATTTCCCAGTAGGACTGAGTGTCTTTCAACTCCGGGGGATGATCCACTCGTGATGTTTACGGATGGATCTGCCCTCTTTCCTCAATGGCCGCGAGCCCGGTTTGCCGCGTGGGCAGTAGTGCTGGTTGACAGCCAGGATCCTCTCCAAGGGCACACCATCGCCCGAGGGCACGTCCGAGGACTGTTGCAAACAGCAGGCCGAGCAGAGATCCTTGCAATCCTATACGCGCTCGAAATAGCGGTCGCAGCAGAAAGACCAATCAATGTGTGGTCCGACTGCCAAGCGGCCATTACCAAGGCGAATAGCATAATAGCAGGGGAAATTGTCAAGCCCAATGATCCGGATGCCGATCTGTGGATCAAAGTCTCACATGCTGCGCACAGCCTAGGATCAGCCAGCATACGAGTGAACAAAGTGGCCGCTCACCTTGCAGACCACCAAGCCGAATCACCTCTCGAGTCTTGGGCATATTTGCACAATGCCGCTGTCGACGAAGCAGCGGGCCATTGCAACCGTGAACGTACGCCACTTTTTCTCGCCACCCAGAACGCGGTTTTTTGCGGCTTGCAAGACGCATTTGAGAAAACCCGGACATTACATCAGTTCTTTGCCAAAGTTGGTCAACAAGCCGTTAGACTTGAACAACGTCAGGCAGAAGATCCTGAGACACTGCAGCCGCCGCCAACAGTGAGCCCAGTCCCACTTGTGGTCCCGCACATCATCGCAACACGCCTTGAAAAGCTTCAGACCCGATATGGCCACCCGCTAGTCCACGCCGTGCTAGCCTGGTGGCAAGTAGCATTGACGGAGGGAGAACCCAGATGGCTCTCGCCACTTCAGCTTCTTGTAGATTTCCAGATGTCAACAGGACTCCACGGACCTGTATACTCAGCAGCCAGCCAATCCTGGCGGGAGCCGACAATGGCAGCCAATGGGAGGCTGCCAGACTACAGTGTCCACCAACGGACTAGGTGGTTTCGCCGACTGCTCACCACCATGTGGAGAGCCCTCCGTGTGCAACACAGCCAAGCGCACACTCGCCCATGCAGCTTGGCTGTTTGCCCTTGGACGCAGTGCATTGCAGCCCAGTGGACCGACGCCAGGTACCACCATGTCGAAAGATGGCTCCGGGACAATCTTCCTGGGGCAGCCGTGCGTAGGGGGACACAGGGGTACAGAGCCATGCAGCCGGCTCCCCTTGTGCAGGGGATGCAAGTGCCCGTCCCGACATACTCGTTGGACAGGTGGCTTGCGTGAGTTATGGGGCCTTACCAATTGGCCGCGCCTGCAAAGACAGGCTGCGTCATGCGGACAGGGAAAAGAGTGAAAAGAGTGGTGGTTTGGTGGTTTGGCGCTTTAGGAGGGGTTTCCCATTGATCCTACTCCCCAAGCCACCAATCCAAACCAACGAGCGGTCCCGGCCAATCTCCGAAAACTCCTCAAAAGCGCGCGCGCGGCAGGTTCCCAAGCAGAACCGCCAGACAGACCTTCTGAATTCTGCGGGTTTCGGCAAGTGTAATGAGTGATTTTTGCAGAGTGGGGATCCGGTTTTGGTGTGTGGCTGGGTGGTATTGATTTGCCAGATCTTGATTTACTCGAAAGGAAGGCATGAGGGGTGAGGGCTGCAACTTCCAGACCCCCAAATTTTTCTCGCCCAGGCCAACTTCTGAGCCTCAAGCCCACATTTCTGGCCCAGACGCCGTCCTTCTTGGCCGTTCGGGCCAATCTGCTGTCAGACCGCGTCCAGAAAAAAAAAAGAGGAGAAGTCCGCGAAGCTGAGGTGGTGATGGCGCAGCTGAAGGAATTCGTGGAGGCGCCCAACTGCTGCACGTTGGTGCGGCTGCTGGCGCCTGGGGCGGTGTACCTCTCACACGTGACTTTGGTGGTGGGGTGGCTGAAGCCCACTGTTTGGCAGGCGCGGGCTGTTTGGCTCGGTTCGGTGAATGGCGGGGGGGGAGACCCATATGGGTGTGGGTCAAAACTTTAACCACCCGGGGACCGCAGGTTTTAGTCTTACTTTTCCATTTACCAGGGTTCCATTTTGGGTACCCATTTTTGAGCCACAGCCATATGAAGAAACTAGAGGATGGGTGGCCCGAAAGCATTTGCAAAAGCGGCAACTTCTCCTAGCAAGTTCTCTGCGCAAGTTGCTCTGAGCAAGTTGTTGGCGCGAGTTCCTCTGAGCAAGTTCTCCAAGCAAGTTCTCTGCGCAAGTTGCACTGAGCACGTTGTTGCTCTGAGCAAGTTCTCCAAGCAAGTTTCTGTGCAAGTTGCTCTTAGCAAGTTGTTGGCCCGAGTTCCTCTGAGCAAGTTCTCCAAGCAAGTTCTTTGTGCAAGTTGCTCTGAGCAAGTTGCTGGCGTGAGTTCCTCTGAGCAAGTTCTCCAAGCAAGTTTCTGTGCAAGTTGCTCTGAGCAAGTTGTTGGCCCGAGTTCCTCTGAGCAAGTTCTCCAAGCAAGTTCTCCGTGCAAGTTGCTCTGAGCAGGTTGTTGGCCCGAGTTCCTCTGAGCAAGTTCTCCAAGCAAGTTCTCTGCGCAAGTTGCACTGAGCAAGTTGTTGCTCTGAGCAAGTTCTCCAAGCAAGTTTCTGTGCAAGTTGCTCTGAGCAAGTTGTTGGCCCGAGTTCCTCTGAGCAAGTTCTCCAAGCAAGTTCTTTGTGCAAGTTGCTCTGAGCAAGTTGCTGGCGTGAGTTCCTCTGAGCAAGTTCTCCAAGCAAGTTCTGTGTGCAAGTTGCTCTGAACAAGTTTCCTCTATTTGCGTAACAGCTTCGCAACTTAAAAGTTGCGATTTTCCAGCCGGAGCCGCGGAAGTTTACTTCGTGCTACTTTCGTATTCAAAAGTTGCGATTTTCCAGCCGGAGCTGTGAAAGTTTACTTCGCGTGATACTGTCGTACTCAAAAGTTGCAATTTTCCAGCCGGAGCTGCGAAAGTTTACTTCGCGTTCTACTTTCGTACTTAAAAGTTGCGATGTTCCAGCCGGAGCTGCGAAAGTTTTCCTCGCTTGCTACTCTCTTTTTTTACTTGAAAGCTGCGATATTCAAGCTGGAGCTGCGAAAGCTTACTTCGCGTAGATTTTCGTACTTAAAAGTTGCGATTGTCCAGCCAGCTGAAAAAGTTGTACGCGCCTTTCTTTCGTACTTAACACTTGCAATTTTCCAGCCGGAGCTGCGAAAGTGTACTTCGCGCTCAGAAGTTGCGATTTTACGCGAAAGTTTACTTCGCGCACGCGTACTACTTTCGTACTCAAAAGTCGCGCACGCGTACTACTGCCTTTTTTGGCTGGGTCTTCTTTTTTGGATATTCGTGTTTTCCTTCCCACTCCGAGCTGCACCGGAATGATGTTAGCCGCGGTCAGGTGCGTCTGCTTTCCTTGTTCAACTACCTGATCTTTGCGGCCTTTCTCCTCTTCAATGCGATCGCCGATCTCGAGGTGGGCGGGGTGAGGGCCTACATTCATCACTTTGTGGGGGGGGGGGGGGGCGCTATAATAGAACCAGTTTATGAATCCGGGCGTTTCCACGGGGACCGAGGCGGACATAAACACTTGGCACCACGCCAGTTTTTTTGGGCTGAATTTTGGGGAGGGCACTTTTTTCTTGAGGCCGCCAGCCGCATTTGGACGGACAAAATGATCATCGCCAACCGCTTCGTCTTCACCATCGTCTTCTTGGACACTCACCTGGCTGCCTGGGGCCAGCTTCTGTTCTTGCTGGTGAATCTCTTTTCCAAGGCCCGGCGCCGGGATTCCGGCAGGTTCCGACAATTGGGGTGGTTGAGCTTGAAGATCTTTGAGGCAAGCGCATGTGTCTTTTGCTCCTCGTTTTGTTGTTCCTCCCCCGACCTTCGGGTGCGGCTGTCAGTTCCTTGCCCTCTTTTGGAATCGCAGGGACAGCATGAGAAACTCCGAGCCCAAAGGCTTGCGTTCATGAACCGTCATGCGCAAAAGCCGGAATGTCTTGCCCAACGTTTTGCAACTCTTCAACGGTCGCAGCAGGTCTTTGTAAGTTGCCGCGCTTGCCCCAGGGTTCAGCAGTTCTGTACATGAACGTCGTTTTTTCCTCGACACTCTTCTGGGCAGTTGCAGAAGTCTGTCGACGACTTGCGCTGAATGCGGACCTAGAAAAGTGGTGAGGCGCTTTGCCTTTTTTCCGGCACATGCAACTAAGCGATGGCGTCGTGGGCGATGCTGTTTAATTTGTCTTGCTTTTGAGCGGCGCCAAGCATGCAAGTGAGCCAGCAGCTCCCTAGATAAAGTTAGTTGGGGAGTCTCAGCCAGCAAGAGGACGCTTTTCTTCGTCCTCCGCACAGGTTTAATTTTCCAGGTCCTTACCCCCACCACACCGGGCTCCCCCTTTTTTTGTCCCTTTACACTCCCAAACGTGCCTTCAGTTTTTATCGAGAGTCTCCAGAGGCGATCAACGAGGGTTCGAGCTTCATTTTTATGCTGGACGAGCTGAGCATCTGCTGCGCCAACCTGATGCTCTCCGTGGTGCTGGAAGCTCTGATTCGATCTCGCATCCAGGCGGACTTGAGAAAATTTCGCCGGCGTTTCGCAACCTTTTGGGTGAAAGAAGGGGTGCTTCTGCATTTGTTTCTGGATGATCAAGCATTTTGGTTTTATGATTATGGTGGCTGTTTACCAGGTGTCTCCTGACCATAGTGCAATGATGTCGATGACCCCTGCTATTGGATTGTAAGGATCAGCCGCCAAGTCGGCGTTTTGCAGCGGGGGAAGCTGCTTAATCATTGCCTTCAGTTCGGGCGTCAAACAGCTTTCAGGGCTGGTGGAGGTTACGAGGTAAACCCGCCGCGAATAGAGTTCGCGTTGGAGAGAGATGTCAAACTACATGCTTCACTTCCTGCATTTGTGTTGCATGTGACTGCAGGCCTTGAGCTCACTACATCGCATGTGTAAAAGGTGGATTGCTGCAGACTACAATCGGTTGACTGTTTGTTTGAACAATACAACACTTGCACTTGTAAGCAAAGTAACCACCGATTTTAACGTGGTAGCGGAGCTGAGATCCTAAACATAGGGAGCTCCAGTAAGCAGTAAGTACTACAACCACAGCAACAGCAGTCACATGCCAAACTACTACGACATGTCAGGAGAAGCAGCATCAGCCTCAGCACAACAAACCACAGGAGCAGAGAACGGGCCAACAGCAGACACAGTAGGAGCCACAACTACGGGAGCAGGAACAGAACAAGACAACGACATTCAGAGACTACATAGATACAAACTGCCACCACCCTTCTTCACTGGTGACTACTCCCAGTATGAAGAATGGCTGTTCAAGCTACAAGCATACCTCGGCCTCATAGACCGAGACTTCGACCTGGTGCTACAACTAGCACAAGTGGCTACACGACAGATTGAGGACACAGACATCAGAACACACATACTCGACCCTACACAAGCAAGCAAAGCAGTAGACCTCTCCAGAGATCTACACTACATCCTCATCAACATCTGTCAGGGAGCAGCAGCTACAGTAGTAAGGCAAAACCGCTACAACGCAAACGGATGTGAAACACTACGACTACTACACAACAGGTTCAGCCTACCAGTAGGAACAAGGAGCGTTGGTTACCTTACCAAACTACTGGAACCTACATTCAACGAAGCGCAGTTTGAAGAACAATTTCTACAATGGGAATACGACATCAACCGCTACGAGAAAGACAATGGAACAGCACTACCAGATGGACTTAAAATAGCAATACTACTCAACAAAACCAAAGGAGCACTGCAGCAACACCTCCAACTGCGAGCTGGACAGATCACGAACTACATCGAGATCAGAGCACTCATCTTGGACTACTACAAGACGATTTCAGCCTTCACTAGATCTACTTCAGCAGTAGGAACAAACTACAATGGAGGAGCTGCACCAATGGATGTTGACAACATATGGAGGAAAGGAAGAAACTACAAAGGCAAAGGAAAAGGAAAAGGCAGCTACAAAGGAAGCAAGAGCAAAGGCAAGTACAGGAGTAAAGGGCACTACAAAGGATTCGACAAAGGCAGCAAAGGAAACTACAACAAAGGAGGATACAACAAGAGCAAAGGAAAAGGCTACTCAGGATCCAAAGGATATGGATCAAGCAAAGGCTACAAAGGCGAAGGAAACTACAGCAAAGCAAAAGGAAAAGGAAGCAACAACTACACAACATGCCAACGATGTGGCAAGCCTGGCCACTGGGCACAAGACTGCAGAGTGCCGGTATGGCACATAGGAGAAGGAGAAGAACTACATCCACTAGAGCAAGAACAAGCAGATCATGACAACCATGAAGAACTGCCTCAGGATGTAAACGACACTTGGGACTGGTACTACGAAGGAGAAGAAGGACAACACGAGGTGAACTACATGGAGGAGAACTGGAACGACTACGACTATGACAACAGCTGGGATTGGAATGACAACAGCTATGAGGACACAGCAAACTACATTGGAGGCATCAACGAGTCACACCTTACCATTGGACACATCAGACAAGCAAACTCACGACTACACAAGCACAAATCCAAATCACTACTTGGCAAGAGAACAACACACACAACATCATGGAACGACCACAGCAAGAGCTTTCAACAATTCCTACAAGAAGACAACACACAGCCACACTTTGGCATAGCAGCAGCAAGACAACAACAAAGGAACAAGAAGATTGAGGACACTATCACACACTACATCATGTACTCCAACTTCAAATCATACCACCACCTGTTGATCGACTCAGGAGCATCTACACATGTTTGTCCGAAGGATTGCGCACCAGACCTACCGCTACGACCTTGTGGAGAATTGGTTCCACAACTCTACACGGTTACAAACAAGAAGATTCCTGTCTACGGCATCAAGTACGTTCCCTACAAGCAGGACAACTTCAGGATCATGATACCCTACTACTTTTGTGATGTGAAGTATCCAATCCTCAGTGCATCAAGACTACTTGATAGAGGATATGGACTTGACTTCACTCCACGACACTGCACCATCACACATGGACAACAACAAGCACACCTCGTACGACACCCAGGACTTTTCTACCTACGAGCAGAGAAGATCGACATCCCTACAGGATTCGACATCTACCCAATGACTACAGACAATGGAAAATCCATTGCTGTGATTCAACCTGCAGAGAAAACAGTACAACAACAAGAACAAATTGCACCACTCACTCACACAGACCAAGGACTACGACAGATCCTTGGTGGAAACACTGACTACTGGAAACTTGATGGTGACTACGCCAGCAGAGTATAGAAGGTGACAACTGGACTGGAGAAACCAGATTCAGAAGAAAGATAACACCTACACGCAGATCAACATCAAAGACCACACCAACAAGGCAACCAAGACTACTGGGAAAGACAAGGTGAATATTGGATAAGACACCACACAACACTTAGAAACACTTAGAACAACTCCATTCACTCCAACAGATGGACCAGGACATCCACCAATCAGCACACTTGAGCCCCACAGAACTACAATCACTCACAACAACTTTGGAGAAGTTTCGCAACGCAAAGATGACTGGACAGTCATGGGCAATGCAGCACTACCATTTCAATGGAAAGGAACAACAAGGTTCACCGTGAAGAAAGACTACGAGTACATCCAGGAGAACCACGATGAGGAACAACAACACGAGCATCATGAAGCACACAGAGCAAGAGGACTACGACAACCGCAGCAGCCCACTCCACAACAAATAGCAGAACACAACTTGACACACCTACCATACAGAAATTGGTGTCCAATTTGCGTTCAAGGCAAAGGACGCCAGGACAACTACAAGAAACAACAATCACGACAACCCATCATCCAAGTGGATTTTGCCTACATCAAATCACAACAAGATCCGAAGACCATACCAGTCTTAACAGCAGTTGATGTTACTACACAACTGTGCATGGCGGTATTGGTTCCGGACAAACCATCAATGATGGACTACATGATCAACAACCTACAAGCATTCATCTTTGATTCTACTGCAATCTTGGACTAAAGGACTCCTACATCGACAACATGATCGAGGAGTCTGGAATGAACAACTGCAACTCAGTGAGCACTCCAGGGATTGCACACTACAAACCAACAATAGAAGATGAAGCACTACTTGACCACGAACAACACAAAAGGTACAGAAGGATTGTTGGCAAACTTCAATGGTTAGCATACACACGACCAGACATTGCATACGCCACAAAAGAACTAGCCCGAGACCTCACAGCACCTACAGAACTTTCACAAAAGAGAGTCAAACATCTACTACGCTACTTGCACGGCACCAAGCACTACAAATTCACCATAGAACCAACAACAACACTCAGAGCAAACACCAACAACAGCCTGGATCTCGACGTTCATGTCGATGCCGACTGGGCAGGATGCCTACTACCAGGAAATCAACTTCAGGTTTCAACATCATCTTTTTAGGATTAACAGTTGCATTTGGCAGCAGAACACAAGCTACAATAGCACTCAGCTCAGCAGAGTCTGAACTCTACGCCATTTGCACAGGAGTGAATGAGGGACTACACCTCAGAAACTTCCTACTTGAAACCAACATTTGCAGCAAGCTAAACCTACGCATCCACACAGACTCCACAGCAGGCAAGAGCATTGCTACACGACAAGGCACTAGCAAACGAGCAAAACACATCGACCTTAAATTTCTCTACGCACAAGACCTCATCAAGCATGACATCATCAGAATCCTTAAGATCAACACACTCCACAACAGCGCAGATTTGTTTACCAAATGCATCAGCAAAGAAACACTACACAGGCTCATCCAGAGCATTGGAATACGCACTTAGCACTACGAACGACCAGCACAGCAGTTTCACAACAACAACAACAACAACAACAACAACAACGACTTTGGACATTTCATGTATGTAAGTAGCTACATGCAACACGACACTTTTGGTATGTAAGTAACAGTAACTACATGTATTTGCACTTGCACTTTTGGCGGCTGAGTCAACACTACAGTTGTTTGTTTTACATGTCTGCATGCGCCGCCTGCCTGATAGCAACTACTCAGGCTCATTTTGTTTTGCCCCGTTTCACTACATTCGCACTCCACTGCAGCCATGGCCGCCCCATCTACTGCAGATGCTACAATGGGAGATGCGACTACACCCGACAGGGCGTCTACACTGGAGGTGGCTGTCACTACGGACTCCAGTGACCATGGAACTCCACCACCTCAAACCTACAACGACTCCAACTACCACTTCAACCATCCTACACCTGGCAACACAGTCTACTACAACCCGACCACAGTGATGGGCCAACTACACATCACTGAGCACCAGACAACCGCTACACCACCACTGCCCGACAACACACCCTACACACAGTTTTTCATTGCACTCACACTCGAAGAGTATCAACTACTTTCACATCAACAAGCAACTCCACTTGCACAACTGGACTACACACAACCCATCTACTGCATCCCTGGAGACCTTCGGATGCCCCACTACAACTCCAC